GACCCTCCCCCCTCTCATGCTCTCTCTCTCTCAGTCTCTCTCTCAAATAAATAAATAAAATCTTTAAAAAAAAAAAAAAGCAGATAGTCACGTGACAGCAGCAATGTCACGACTGACGAAGAAGGGAAAGGATGTTTAAGGCAGCTTATTGGATGTGGAGGAGAAAGAATGGGAAGAATTGAGTCCCCAGAGTATTATGGGGGACAACTGGCAGAAATGGGGACAACCTGATTACAGGACTGCTTGGTAGTGGAAGATGATCAGTGCATCTCGCTGGACAGGCTGTCGCTTTTCCATCTTGACTGGAAAACACACACGCAGGCGCCGACTTAGCCACATACTCCTCCCTGCACCCCCTCCACCTAAGCCTTCCTAAATAAAGCTGACATAAAACGAAACTGTGTATCCTTACGTTGCAAAACTAGAAACTTCATTTGAGTTTTACTGGGTTTTGATCACATGGCTTCAGAATCTATAGGAATGGTGGCATCTTATAAAAATGTACACATACTGCTCGGAGCGATGCATTCTTATGAAGCCCATGGAGTGAGAGTTGTGGCCCCGATGAGAAAGTGTGTTAACTTATTCTTGGTTTTGTGTTCCTTGCTTTTTGATTCATTGTCCTGAAAAGCGTTTTGAATTTCCTCTGCAAAATGACTGACCTTGTCATCGGCAAGTTCTGGGGTTTTCAACAAACAGGGCAGATCGACTCAGGAAAGTTCTGGAAGGGCCCGAGTGCTACAAAGGTCTCTAGGGGTGAGGCTAGCACTCCCGGCTACATCAGTGTGGCACCAGAGAGAGTGCTCTGGCTCGGCCACACTAGGACACGTGGCTGCCAATGGTGGTGGCTTCCAGGCCGTATTCCAGAAGCTGTAGCCTGTCTGAGAGCAACCTTCCATGTGTCCCCCCATCAGCCAACCCTGCGGCGAACACCTAAGGCTATGCAGTCAGTGTGGCTTCCAGGGCTCTTCAGGGCACTGCCCAACCGTACTCTTCACCTGCTTTACTCCAATCTTGTTTGGGCAAACTGTACCTAGCTGGCTACGAATAGGAAAGTTATAGGCTTGTACATACATCTTCATTATAATACCAGAGACATTTTAATATACAGCTCAAGGTTTAGAGAGTCTTCTGGGCTTTAAAGGAATATGTCGAATTTGACATGTTTTCTAAATGAAATTTTTATAATTAAAGTAATTATCTGGTGTTGCTTTGTATTTCCAAATGAATGCATATTGTGACCTATGTAGCATACGATAAAGACTGTAATTAATGCAGAATATAGTAGGGGAAGCTAGTGGAGTATCTCTAAACCACCTGTGTTATTTCTTTTTAACAAGAATTTTGTTGGAAATAAAAAATATATATTTTCTAGAATAGATACACGTAAAAATGTTCTTAAACAACTTATAAATAGGTTATAAAATGGATCTAGTTTCTCATCGCTTACCCTGTAATGGTCAAGGTTGTCTTCTGGAGTTGGGAGACCCATGTAACGTTCTGTATACACTGAGTCTGCGACGAAAAAAACATTTAAAAATAGTTAATTCATACAATAAACTTTTCTTTTTCTTATTGGGTTACTTTATGTGCTTTCATATGTCGTAACTTGTGCGTGGGTCTGTAGCATCCCCCTCAGGAGTGTCTCTTTGAGATCATTTTTATTTGGCTTGTTAATGTAGCCAGACACCTGCTCAGACTCACGCCTTTCCATACTCAGCTGGAACCAGTGAGGGTAGAGGGAGATCAAACTAGATGATCTAAACCCAGTCAATAATCCATCTACAGAGGGCGCCTGGGTGGCTCAGTTGGTTAAGCATCTGCCTTTGGCTCAGGTCATGATCCTGGGATCCTGGGATCAAGCCCCACATCTGGCTCCCTGCTCAGCAGAGAGTCCGCTTCTCCCTCCACCTCTGCTCTGCCCCTCCCCCGTCCCCTCCCCCGCACTTTCTCTCTC